TTTAGATTTCGGCATTAAATAACCCATAGAGGTGTACTAAACAACCGCTAAACAAAACCAAACAATCAAAATTTTTTTCTGAGGCGAAGAGGAAATAGAAGACACATAATAAAGAAAGAGAGAGAAAAAATAACAATGACATGGCATATTAAAGGTAAGAGCGACAGGAAGTTGTGAAGAGCCATGATCGCCCACGACTTGAAGGGATACAGCACATAAAAGAGGTTTACTTCTTTATTAGAAATGTCCGAGTGAATTACGAGCTTCTCTTTTTTTTTAACTGAGTTGTTATAAATTTATTAAGAACAAAATAGAACGTTTTTCTTGGAGTCAGAAACAGACATTTGGGTTTATATAACGAGGAAAGACGTCTTGGAAAATCTGATACCTCAAAGACATATGATGGATGAGGGAAAACAAAGGTTAACAAACCTAGTAAGCTTGTGTAAACGGATAGCAGTCCAGGGCCTAGATATAACCTAGAGGTATACTAATGGGATAAACATTGCTTCCTATAAAGGAAGCTGTGAAGTGAACTGATCTACACACCCTAAAGGAATACCAAATAATTTTATCTTCTCATATTTTGCATAATTCGCCAGTCACATTTGTTGTATTTAACCTATTCTTTCATTTTATTACTCTTTTTGTGCTTATTAACATATATACTGGCATTAGATTCTGGATTAGAAATGGATAGAAATATTCAAAATTGATGGGAGTATGTATAATTTTGACTCTCTCTCTCTCTCTCTCTCTCTATATATATATATATATATATATATATATATATATATATATATATATATATATATATATATATGTCTATATTTATGAGATGAGATGAGGTATGATGTACATTATTTACATTATTCGGACTATTGTCGCCATATTTATTACAACATTTCTTCAGGTGGTTGGAATATCGAACTGAACTGAACCCTTTAGTAGAATTGCTAATTCTAGAATTACATCCATTACGCTGTATGGATGGTGGGATTTGAAATTGAGGTACTGTCAGCTGAATGTCGGTATACGGATGTCTTGAAACTATGCCCTGTTCGAGATATTAGAACATCCAGGAATGGGAGTGTGTTGTCACTCTCTTTCTCCATTGTGAACTGCATCGAAGGTCTTATTGAGTTCACGTGATCCAGTAGAATCTGAACATCTTTCTGGTGTAGCCAGAGAATGAGGGTGTCATCTACGTACCTTAACCACATAGTTGGCTTTAGAGATATAGATTCTAGTGCCATTTACTCAATTCCATGTATATATTCGCCATTGCTGGTGACAATGGCGAGCCCATTGCTAAGCCCTCATCCTGTCGATATATGTGTGATCCCATTCCGAAGTGTGTTGTTTGTGTACAGAAAGTCAACATCTCCATCAGATTAATAATTGGAATACTGGTCCGTTCTTCTAGGGATGAGTCAGAGGTCAATCTGTCTCTGACTACTGAGAGTGCCTCCTCCGTGGGTACCTTGGTGAACAAACTCACCACGTCCAAGCTCACGTGGTCAGGTTGGATAGGATGGGAGCATCTTTGATTATTTCCACGTGGGCGGAGTTTCGGACATATGAAGGAGACTTTCCGATCAATGGGTCAATTATATCTACAAGGAAGCGACTCAGAGGGTGGCACACAGAGCATTGGCAACTAACAGTCTTTGTGAATCTTAGGGAGACTGTATATGTGAGGTAGCTTGGTGTAACGCTGCGATAACTGCCTATACGTCTTAGGTGCGAAGTGATCCTTGTTCTTGATTAGTATCTGTGACAGTTTGCGTTGTGATTTGTCGCATTGCCTTTATCAGCCAGTAGTATGATGATGTTTTCGTTCCTCTGTAGTGAGCGAAATAAAACGATCAGTTCGACATTCCAACCACCTGAAGAGGGCCGGAGCGTACAACGTCCGAAACGTTGTAATAAATATGGTGACAAAGATGAGGACAATACTCTGGATAATGTATATATATATATATATATATATATATATATATATATATATATAGTTGAATTGGTGTGAGTTTTTGACCCTGGGTTTCACGCTATTTGCGATCGTTAGACAAACTGATAGATTTTTAAATTTTGGATTTATATATGGTCAGTGAGCGTGCTTGTATGTATGTTTGCGTAAGTATGAATGGCGTTCCGATGTCAACTTTTCCTCCCATTTCCATAAAAATACCGATATACGCAAACATATATAAATCCAAAATTTAAAAATTATTCAGTTTGTCTGATGATCGCAAATAGCATGAAACCCTGAATCACAAACTCACATCAATCCAGCTAAATATGTTAGCTCTATCAATGATATTGAGTGCTTTCCAATAAGTACCGCGCATATATAATATATAAATAATATATATAAAAAATGCATTATATATATATATATATATATAATATATAATGAAAAATTATTAAACCATAGGCAGGAGTTAACGGTTTTTTGCCGACATCAACAAACTTTCGCATTAAATAATTAGCATAAAAAAAAAATTCCATAGCTTAATAAAAGTCTTAAAAGCTTAGCCAAATCATTAAATAGGAAAAACCCTTTCTGTAGTCGTCAAAAAACAAAAAAAAACAAATTGAAATTCATTGCAATACGGTTTTATATATAAAACACCCACTTGAATAAACAAATAAATAAATAGATAATCAGATGGACAATAATAAAACAGAATCCTCCCGATACATAACGCCATAAAAATATCCCGCACTGGGAACAAACTAAAGGATGACCGCCAACATTAGCCTTGAAATAGATACCCTACCCAACCTGAGCAAAACCTCTCAGAGGTTGATGAATCTATAGATAAGAATTAACTCTCTGACCACTTAACGAAGAAAACTCACCTAGCCCCCACCCAAAAAAAAAACGAATGTTATAACGGACCATGCCTAAAAACACACTTAACCAAAAAGATAGCTTATTTCTAAAATTTCGCTTGAAGATAAAACGAGATTAAACACCTCAATTCAACTTAATTTAATAATTATTTGGATGATTTCGGCTCTCGTTTTTGAAGCATGAGAACTCTTATGTAGCGAAGGAATCATATTTTAAACAAAAATATTATATATATATATATATATATATATATATATATATATATATATATATATATATATATATATTTATATATATACACATTTTACATATATATATATATATATATATATATATATATATATATTTCCTATCGAAGTTTTGTATCAGAATTATATATATATATATATATATATATATATATATATATATATATATATAATTCTGATACAAAAACTTCGATAGAATGTGTAATTTTGTTCCTCCAATTATTTTTTTTTCATATTTTCATTTCAAACGATACACGTTGAGAAACATATAATAATTTGGTATGACATTTCCAATTAAGTTTTAATTACATTTTCAATTCAATTTTCAATTTCCTCATCTTCGGCTTAAATAATAAATTCTCTTCTTTTGAACACGAACTTGCAATTAACAAAAATTACGTTTTTTCTTTCAATCTGTAATTATTAGAAGCTGGAAAAATATGTAATACGAAATCATGTTTCCATATTTTATTATATAGGTTCTCAACGTTATATACTTTCGAAATATTTGCGATCTTAGATATTAGATTCTGCTTCTAGATATATTAATATAAAATATAACAATGTGGATGAGGATTTGAATAAACGACGAAATATTAAAAGTTTTTTAGTCAAATCCATGGGAATCTGTTTCTAACTTAATCTGTTCAGGTGTTGAGTTTCATGTTCCCCGGATGTCATCCCCCGTTTCTTGTTTCTTTCTGATCGTCCCTCATTTTATCGGCTACAGTTAGAAAACGCTATAAACATCGGTTCCCGTTCAATCGCCGAGGTTAAGCAGCATCGCTCCAGGTCAATACATTAAGGGGAACTTCTTGGGAGGGCCAAGTAATGTATGCAAGCTCCTACATTCGAAATATGTTTCGATTTTAAATAACCTACAAAGCCTCTATCCACCGTGCCATGTGCCCTTAAGGACACACGGCACAGTGGATAAAGGCGTTGGTTAGATCCAGTGACAGGACCCAAAGACTGTGAGTTCAATACCCGGTTAAGGCTGTGGAGAACTTTCAGAGGGAAATTAACAGGAGATAACTGATAACTGACATCCATCAAACATGGCACGTGGAACTAGAACAGTCTACCCCGGTGAGCGAAATAAAGGGTTCAGTTCGATATTCCAACCACCTGAAGAAGGCCGGAGCGTACAACGGCCGAAACGTTGTGATAAATATCGCGACAAAGATGAGGACAATAGTCCGAATAATGTAAATAATGAGGTGATAAGCCGTAAAAAAAAGAAATCTTTCCATCGTATTTCATTTTGTTCATATCTATTATCAGAACCAAGAAGTGCCTTTTAATAAAGAAAAATGTCATGTAGAATTTTTTTCCCATTTTCCCATTCAATTTCTCACAATTATTCTGATATAAAGAGTTGTATACCATATCTTATCATATATATATATATATATATATATATATATATATATATATATATATATATATTCACTTGTATGGATATGGGGTTTGTGACCCAGGGTTTCACTCTTTTGCGATCATCAGACAAACTGGTTTATTTTTTTAAAATTGTATCTATTGATGTTTGTTTGACTATGTTTGGTGGTGGGAGGGGGAATATAATTCTGTGTTTGTTTGAGGTGACACTATCATACACATAGACACACATACATACAGGTGTACCCATTTTAGTTCACACATACACATCCATATAAGCAATACGAGGCTAAGAGCAGATACACATCCATGAGTTCGGGCAAACATACATACGCAGACCGTACCTTTTATATATGTAGCGATGTTCTTTTCAACATGGAGCGGGTAGGGTGTTCTTAACGCTTTTCAGATCCACCGCCTGCGCCATCAGAGAATGTGTGTGTGTGTGTGTGTGTGTGTGTGTGTGTGTGTGTGTGTGTGTGTGTGTGTGTGTGTTAGATAAGAACAGACTGGAATAGATAGATAGATAGATAGATAGATAGATAGATAGATAGATAGATAGATAGATAGATATTATTGAATTCAAAAAGTACCCTCATGTTAAACATGGAACTTTACATAAATGATTGGAGATGTTATCATAAATAATAATAATAATAATAATAATGACCTGTTACAATTCTATGGGACTACACAATACACACTGAGAGAACAATCAAAGCCAACCGCCCAGATATTGTTATTAAAGACCACAAACAAAAACGGTGCCTCCTTATTGATATGGCAGTCCCTGCTGACTGCAATGTAGCTTTGAAGATATTAAAAAAATTGTCAAAATACAAGGACCTTGAAATAGAAATCTCGAAAATGTGGCATATGGGAACATCAACAATCCCTGTTGTAGTTGGAGCCCTAGGACTGGTTGGAAAAGATTGCAGTAGACTAATTGAAGGGATTCCAATGGAAATAATAATAAAAATAATAATAATAATAGCAATAATAATAAAAATAGCATCAATTGAATTTAAAACTGGACATGATAGTGTAGGTCAGTATCTGCATTGGAAAATATGCAACTTTTACGGGAAGGCAACTGAAAGAAGAGGTATGATTATCACCCAGACCCGGTTACGGAGACAGGATCTATAATCATTTTATGGGGCTCAGGCAGAAAAAGCAAAGCTAACCACCCAAACATGGTGATCAAAGACCACAAAAACAGAATGTCCGTTCCTATTGACATGACATTCTCTGCAGATTTTCATTTATCTTTGAAGATGTGGAAATCTAAACAACGTGACACGAGGGCATCAATAATTCCTGTTGTAGTTGGAGCCCTCAGATTGATTGGAAAAAGTTCCGATACATTCATAGAAGAAGAAGAAAAAAATACAAGGGCCTGGAGATCGAGATTAACAGCATGTAAAGAATAAAGACTAAGATTGTACCAATAGTAATCGGAGCTCTGGGCTTAGTGAGAAAAAGGAATGGACAATTTTACTAAAGTTTTCCCAGGTAACAACAGCATAAAAGTTTCCCAGAAGATCGTCCTACTCAGAATATCTCATATACTAAGAAAGAGTGTGAGTTCAATACCCAGTTAAGGCAGTGGAGAACTTTGAGAGGGAAAATTAACAGGAGATAACTGATGACTGACATCCATCAAACATGGCACGTGGAACTAGAACAGTCTACCCCGGTGAGCGAAATAAAGGGTTCAGTTTGACATTCCGACCACCTGAAGAAGGCCGGAGCGTACAACGGCCGAAACGTTGTGATAAATATCGCGACAAAGATGAGGACAATAGGACAAAATGCCATCAATCAAATGATAATTCCCCTATAGGGCCTAAGGACCATAGTTTGGACCCGGTTCTACATGATACAAACCAGGAACATAACATAAGTAGTAGTAGTAGTAATCATATTAATAATAATAATAATATTAATGCCATTTGCGTCAGTAAGAGTATTATTGCATTAGGCTTTGTTAAAGTAACCGGCTGTGGTAAAATTATTACCAATGTTTGTGAGCATTGGGGATAAATAAGCGCACGGGAGGTTTCAGTTTCGTATATAAGATGGAGGGTGATCTTTTAGTCTTATATGGTGCTAAATACGGCACATTGTGAGAAATAAATGATTTTTAACCATGAGACTACCGATTTACTGATGTTCAAATGTATTTATGTATGTATATTTGGTCGTCTATCTCTAACACCCACACTCATTCTATTTTCTCTCTCTCCCCCTGTCTCTCCCCCTCTCTCTTCCCCCCCCCCCATATCCCCCTCTCTACCCCTCTCTCTACCCCCTCTCTCTCTCTCTTCCCATATATCTCCCCTCTCTCCCTTTCTCTCTCTCCCCTCTCTCTCCCCCTTTGTTTCCCCCCATCTCTCCCTTTCTGTGTGTGTGTGTGTGTGTGTGTGTGTGTGTGTGTGTGTGTGTGTGCTGTGGTGTGACGATCAGAGAGAGAGCCTTCCGGAAAATTACTGTTCTTTTGAGTTCAATCCTCCCTGAACGCACCTTTCCTGCACTTGAGGTACGATACCGTACCAACGTAACCTTTGTAAATACTTCTATCGTTTTAGGTACTTCAATGAAAGACTGATAAACTTACGCCCACCAAGAGTGGTGATTTATTTGAAGCGAATCTCGAAGAAGCAATCATATCAGAGATGCTGCTCCGAAAATGGAACTACTTGCTTTCAAGCGGGACGACTTGTGACGAGGTCACTTGTTAACTTTGAATGCTGTGAAGAAAAAAAAAGACATTAAGAAGCAGGAACTCGTTATTTGATCTATGCGAATGCGAATAGAAAAACGGTCTGTTAGTCGCTAAACGAACCACGCGGCCAGCATAGACCACGTTTAGTTGTTGCGTTAAGAATAACTATTATCGCCAAAGGATTCATTATTTATTTTTGGACATAGAAAGAAGGAAAACAGGAAGAGGAATAAAGAAAAGAGAATGATGAGGTGAATAAAAGAAGACTACGAATAGCTAAGAAAGAAAGCGAAAAATGGCGAACAGCGTGGAAGGAAATAAGGTAAGAGAAAGTGTTTCCTAAAGGAATTCTTTGTGCAGTTTTGGCTAAGGAAGGAAATGTGAAGTGAATGAAAGAAATATGAAATCCAAAGAAAGAATAAGAAGAAAGATTTAATTTGTACATTAAGTTTAAGACTCAATAGGACTTAAGTTTTCGGCAATGAAGGAATAGAGAAAAAAAAGCGGTTAATTCATTTATTTTTAACGGTTTGTCAGTCCTTGCTGGGTTATTTAAAGGCGAATTATATTTTGTATTATAAGAATATTCTTTACAAGTGAATATTGCATTAAAAATATTCTGAAAATAATAACAATTTTGTCGTATTTATTTAGCCCTTATTTGAAAGGAGAAATATTTGCTTATAAGTGAATATAACGAATCCGGCTGGAATTCGAACTCAGCTCTCCGATTTCCTATTTCGAGTTGACATTCATTACACCGTCCTCACATCCGAAAGATAAAAGAGAAAGGACAAATGAATGAATAGAAAAAGGCAATAAATAAAGGAAAGAAAAGTAAACCAAGGAATATGGAAGAAATGAAAACATGCCAAATAGGAAGAAACGAAAAAGAGGGAAAGGGGAAGAAAAAATTTCACAGAGGGACTCACTTTGGATAAAAAATGGTAAAAAGACGGGAGTTGAATAAAATAGAAAAAAAGTAAGGTGAGGAAGGAAACTGGAAGAAACAGAAGCTCAAAAAGAAACCAGGAAAATTAAGGAAAGACAAGCCGAAAAAAGAAATTAAGAAAGTTTTGAAAAGTAAAGGAAGACAAGGAAGGGAACGTAAATAAATATAAAGGAAAAAGATGAAAGAAAGAATTAAACGCAAAGAAAGAATATAAAGATCTTATAAAAGATTGCAGCATTATACGAGGAAGGAAAAGCATGAATAGATGAAGATAAACTAAGAAAAATAGGTAGACAAAAGGAAATAAACTGATAAAGCAAAGAAAGAAAGAAGAAATGAATGAAATAAAGAAAGAAATTGGTAGACAAAGGGAAAGAAACCGAAAAATCAAAGAAAGAAACAAACAAACAAATGAAGGCAAAGAAAGTAAAACGTAAGAAAAAAATGGGGAGACAATAGGAAATAAGCCGAAAAAGCAATGAAAGAAAGAAAGAAAGAAAGAAAGAGGTAGACAAAGGGAAAGAAACCGAAAAAGCAAAGAAAGAAAGAAAAAATAAAGAAAGAAAGAAAGAAATAAAGAGGTAGACAAAGAGAAAGAAACCGAAAAAGAAAAGAAAGAAAGAAAAAATAAAGAAAGAAAGAAAGAAAGAAAGAAAGAAAGAAAGAAAGAAAGAAAGAAAGAGGTAGACAAAGGGAAAGAAACCGAAAAAGCAAAGAAAGAAAGAAAAAATAAAGAAAGAAAGAAAGAAAAAAAGAGGTAGACAAAGGGAAAGAAACCGAAAAAGCAAAGAAAGAAAGAAAGAAAGAAAGAAAGAAAATGTGTGGAAAGAAAGAAAGAAAGAAAGAAAGAAAGAAAGAAAGAAAGAAAGAAAGAAAGAAAGAAAATGTGTGGAAAGAAAAAAGAAAGAAAGAAAGAAAGAAAGAAAGAAAGAAAGAAAGAAAGAAAGAAAATGTGTGGAATGGGATGAAGAAAGAAAGAAAGAAAGAAAGAAAGAAAGAAAAAAGAAAGAAAGAAAAAGGTAGACAAAGGGAAAGAAACCGAAAAAGCAAAGAAAGAAAGAAAGAAAGAAAGAAAGAAAGAAAGAAAGAAAAAGAGGTAGACTAAGGGAAAGAAACCGAAAAAGCAAAGAAAGAAAGAAAGAAAGAAAGAAAGAAAGAAAGAAAGAAAGAAAGAAAGAAAGAAAGAAAAGAAAGGAAGAAAGAAATAGGTAGACAAGGGAAAGAAACCGCAAGATCAAAGAAAGAAAGAAAGAAAGAAAGAAAGAAAGAAAGAAAGAAAGAAAGAAAGAAAGAAAATGTGTAGAATGGGATGAAGAAAGAAAGAAAGAAAGAAAGAAAGAAAGAAAGAAAGAAAGAGGTAGACAAAGGGAACGAAACCGAAAATGCAAAGAAAGAAGGAAAGAAAGAAAGAAAGAAAGAAAGAGATAGATAGATGGAAAAAAAAGAAAAATCAAATAAAGAATGAAAGAAAAACGAAAGAAAGAAAGAGATGAAGGTAAAGAAAGAAAGAAAAACGAAAGAAAAAGACAAATAATTAGACAAAAGAAAAAGAAACCGAAAAAACAAATAAAGAAAGAAAACGAAAGAGAGAAAAAGAAGAGCATGTAGATATCTTCTTTTTTTTTTTTTTTAAATCAGATTAAAAGTGAAAGTAAAGAAAACTAAGACCATACAAAAAAATGAAACCTCATGCGAAGGAAAGAAAATAGACAAAAAAAGAAATAAAGGAAAAAGAAAAGCAAGCCAGAAAGAAAAGCCATATTTGGTGACCTCGAGTTCAAATGTCGCACTTCTGATGCTATAATGAGAATCCGTAAAAGCTTACTCGTATCGAGGGCACAAGACATTGAATGGTAATTCTCACTTGGTGCATCCAGATTTGTAACTTAACAATCCGTGAAGCCGTAGAGCAATAGCCAGCAACCAGTGCAAATGAGCATAATTTTCACAATTTAAACCAGAGGTTTCAAACATGAGGCCTGGGGGCCTCATTGTGGCCCGCGGACTATCTTTCTGAAGCGCGCAGGAAATATTTTCATGACCAATAGCTTCCTCAAATTTTAATAAATACGTTCCACGTTGCGTCCATACTTGTTCACTATCCGTATTGGTGTTGACCTTACCACCAAGTGCAATCAGAACAGTCAATCTACTTTAAGGTCAGTAGATTCTCTAGGGAAGCGTAAAGAAAAAAAAAACGATCTTAACACCACAACGTATTTTTCAACAGGGTCGGGGGGTCTCTTTACCAAGTGTTAAAAATGTACTTTCTCAGAAATTCTGGGTTTCTCTCTTCTTTTACTGTTTTTAAATTTTATAAGATACACTAAATTTGTCAACTCATATTAGATAAAGTTGACCCCCTCCCAAAAATGTTTGCCTCCCCGCCCACACTCCAGCTGTGAATATAATGCAGATTAATTTTAATGAAGGAAAATGCGCTCAAAACCCTTGGGCCGAATATGGATTTGATACCACAACCCCTGCAGTAGATACCCCTCCCTGTTGGTAATACCCTAGCAACGTGCCTGCTTCTGGGCTGAGGAATTTCTCCCTCAACACGTAATGGCCCTTTAGTGTCCTTGATTTGAACTAAGTTTAGCTTAAATCGCATAGAAGTATTTAACCGTGTTGCCTCAGAGACCAATGTTAATGACCATGAATGGGTATCTATCATTGTCTTCAGGTCCGGGACTATTTAGAATACCTGCTATACATAAGTCCAACTGAAGCGATCCTTTGCAAATATCCTTCTTCTCCTCCTCCTCCTCCTCCTCCTCCTCCTTCTACTTCTTCTTCTTCTTCTTCTTCTTCTTCTTCTTGTCGTCGTCGTCCTCCTTCTTCTTCTCCCAATCCCTGTTCCTCCAACCTCCTCCTTATTCTCTACTTTTCTTTCTCCTTTTCCTCCTCCTCCTACTTTGTCTTGGCCTCCCTTCTCCCTTCTTTTTCTTCTTCTGTCTCCTTTCTTCCTCCTCCTCCTCCTTCTTCGTCTCCTTCTTCTTCTTCTTCTTCTATTTCCCCACTGCTCCTCCTCCTTCATCTTCTTCTCTCGTCCTCCTCCTCCTCCTTCTTCTTCGTCTTCTCCCAATCCCTGTTCCTCCAACCTCCTCCTTATTCTCTACTTTTCTTTCTCCTTTTCCTCCTCCTCCTACTTTGTCTTGGCCTCCCGTCTCCCTTCTTTTTCTTCTTCTGTCTCCTTTCTTCCTACTCCTCCTCCTTCTTCTTCTTCTCCTTCTTCTTCTTCTTCTATTTCCCCACTGCTCCTCCTCCTTCATCTTCTTCTCTCGTCCTCCTCCTCCTCCTTCTTCTTCGTCTTCTCCCAATCCCTGTTCCTCCAACCTCCTTCTTATACTCCACTTTTCTTTCTCCTTTTCCTCCTCCTACTTTGTCTTGGCCTCCCGTCTCCCTTCTTCTTTTTCTTCTTCTGTCTCCTTTCTTCCTCCTCCTCCTCCTCCACCTTCTTCTCTTCCTTCTTTTTCTATTTCCCCACTGCTCCTCCTCCTTCATCTTCCTGTTCCTCCTCCTCCTTCTTATTCTCCACTTTTCTTTCTCCTTTTCCTCCTCCTACTTTGTCTTGGTCTCCCGTCTCCCTTCTTCTTTTCTTCTTCCGTCTACTTTCTTGAATGAAAAAAGAGCTGAAGGAAAATTAATCTTGAAAACGGAAAAGGAAGAAAAGAAGGAAAATAAAGAAGGAATAAAAGAATGAATGAAAGAAGAACTGAAGAAAAATTAAGCTTGACAAAGGAAAAAGGAAGTATATAACGAAAATAAAGAAACGATACTTGAATGAATGAAAGAAGATGAAAGAGAATGAAAGATGAGCTGAAGGAAAATTAAGCTTGAAGCGAGAAAATGAAGAAAAGAAAGAAAATAAAAAAGCAACAAGGAGGAGTTGAAATAGAATTAAGCAAAATGTCAGAAAAGAAGAATGAGAAAGAATAAGAGAATAACTGAATGAAAAAGGAACTGAAAGAAGAATAAGCTTGAAGCGAAAAATGGATGAAAAGAAAGAAAATAAAGAAAAGATAATGGAACGAACAAAATATCATCATAAAAGCAAATTAGGCAAGATGATAGAAAAAAGAACAAAGAATCAATAAGAGAATGAGTAAATGAATGATGAACTGAAGGAAAATTACGCTTGAAGAGGGGAAAAGAAGAAAAGAAGGAAAATAAATAAAGGAGAAAATGAAGGAAAATTATGCTTGAAGAAAGAAAAGAACGAAAAGAAGCAAAATGTGGCATGGTAAAAATATAATTTTTAACGCTAATTTTCTCGGTCGGTTTTCATTATTTGGATGGTTGGCGCAACATGATCTTGTAATATTTTCCACTTTTAACCTTGAGGTTTTACTAAAATTAGCGTAGCCAGTGTCGAGACGAGTAGAAGCAAGAAAGAGAGAGGGAAAAAGAAGAAATTATTAAAGAAGTCAAAGAAAAACCGTAGGAAAGAAAATAACTAAAAGAAAGACAAAAGAATAACAAAAAGAAAATGGCGGGCGACGAAATGTTAAAGAAGTAATAGAAAAAAATATGAGGAAGAAAAAAACTTTAAAAGAAAATAAAAGAAAAGAGAAGAAAAAGAGAGAGAAGAAATAATAAAGCTTTCAAAGGAAAATCGCCAAAGGAAATAGAAAAACAAGAAACAAGTTCGAAGAGAGAAAGAGAGAGAGAGGATAGTAAGGATGACGAAGTATATCGTAAGACGAAGTTAAAAAAAACAGATAAAGAGAAAACGATAATGAAACGAAATGACAATGAATAAGGAGTAGAAATATTAAAGAATCCAAATAAATATTGTATGAAGGAAACCAATTTAAAAGAAAGAAAATTAGAAGGACACTGGAGATCTTAGGAAAGAGAATAACTTGAAAGAAAATGAGAAAAAATGATATGAAACAATAAAGTATCGAGCGAAGAAATATTAAAGTAATTAATGAAAATCGTATAAAGAATAGAACCTCAAAGAAAGAAAGAGATGGAAAAGAAATGCGAAAAGAAACCAGAAAGAAAAGATAGAAAGAAGAAGAAGAAGAAGAAGAAGAAGAAGAAATAGTAAAGATATCCAAAGAAAAATTGTAAGAAGAAAAAGAACTTAAAGAAGATAAAAAGAAAGAAACAATGAGAGATAGAAAGATAAGAATGAGCGAAGAGGTTCGAGAAAAATTGGAAGAAGAAAAAGAATTTAAAGAAGAAACAGAAAAGAGTAACGAATAGAAAACAAATAAAATAAAAGATGGAGAAGAAAGAAAGAAAGAAAGAAAGAAAGAAAGCGCTAGAACTAATGAGAAGAAATAGTAAAGAAGTCCGAGAAAAACCGTAAGAAGAAAGAAGAAAGAGAAAGGAATAGAAAAAGAAAAGCTTAAAGGAAAAAATGAATAATTTAGGAACTTGAAAATATAAACGACAAAAAGTCAATAGCACAAAGCATTCTTCTTCCGCTTCCACGCTCATTATGAGTTCGACTCTTGAACGCCTGTTCTGTTATCTTTAAGCCGGCATTGCACTGTACCAAGTAAGCAGCGATTTTTTGAAACTTTTTTGGTCGCTCTTTCCTGAACGAAAAAAAAGAAAAGAGGAGTGGAAAATGTCACTCATCTTTTTCGCTTGTACAATTTTTTATACTTTATCCCCCTTTCTCCTTTTCTCCTTCATTTTTTATTCATGTTCCTCGTCTCTTTTATCTTCGAGCCATCATCATGTCAGCTTTATTCCCGACTGAACGCCATGTTCGACTTTCTTTATCACGTCTTAGATTTTGTACGCATGCGCATTCCCCACGCCAATTTTATCATCATTATTATCCATTTTCTTTTTCTTTTGCTAAAATCTTTGGTTTTTAACCGATTGCCTTTATCATACACGCGCGATGCGGAGCTCCCTGATTTAATGAGAACGTGCAGTCAGCTGCAGAGATGAGAAGATAGAGAGATATATACATCAATATATCTCGGTTACATATCGTAGCTAAACGAATGTATGTATACACTTAACGAACGGAAATAAGCTTTTGAAGAAGACTCCCTCTCATTCCCTTTTTCTTTCTCTCCCTTTTTCATACACCTATGGCTAAAGTTATACATTAACCACAAATTTGCATTTTTGTGGAGTATTTTAAGATTTATTCCTCTGATTATACAATTTGTATTCTGTATTTTTCCAGTTTATTTCCACGTGTTTATTATTAAACAACATTTCGTCACAACCAGCGAAATTCTTGCTACCATTCTGCAAATATGGATTCATTTATGTAAAATTGGACACCTATTTTTGTCTGTTCTCTGATCACAAAGAGAAAGGTGAGATCTCATGAAATAAAAGCCGGAAAAATATATTTTCGTACTCTAAAGTAATGATTATTTAAAAAAAAAAAGAAAAAAAAGGCAAACCATCTATATATATAAAACAGAGGATGTCTGTGTTTCTGTCTGTCTGTGTAATACCTTTTCATTCGAGATCCATCCAACCGATTTTGACCGAACCTGGCACATACATTGTACAAATGCATAACATCAGCATAAAATCGATATATTTTTTTAAAAAAGCCGATCAAAAATCGATAAATTTAATTTTTTTTTCCTTCGACTTCAAACTCGGTATGTAGATTACCTACATCACGACGAGCTCAACGATACCTCATTTTTATTTCTAGGTCACTGTGTTTAGCGAAAAACCACGAAAAACGAAAAATCGATTTCAACACAAATTTTAAACTAAAAACTCCCTCAATTTTCAAGCAGTCTAATACAAACTTCACTCAGTTTTAGCGAAGTTGATTGTTTAACAGTCATTCAACTTGATAATTGAGTCCACGCATATAGTGAAAATCCGCGTAAATAGCGAAAAATGGCGATTTTTACTTGTTCATTTCTTATATTTCGTTGATCTTTCAACCATTTTTTATCAAACTTAACAACTGCTTCATAAACGTATCCTCTTTTACATCCCTGGTAGCAATTTCAAAAGCGCCAAAATAATTGTGTTCTGAAGTGTGTTTTCATGTTGCCTGTTTTACCCCTTCATATATTCGGCAAACTTCGTTTGAATAAATACAGACTACTTCTGTTATATCAGTCAGCCTGTTATGTGCCATGCGTGATACACGCTTAAGCGATCATGTATCTTTCAATACATGACTCACGAGGCAGATATTTTCCCAAAATAGGTTGCCATTTTTTCTGCGGTAGACCAGTTGTCATCCAAGACCCGGTCTCTCCTGCTATTTACCCATTGCTGGGGGAGGGGAGAGAAGACGAGGATACATACCTTTCCCAAGGATATTCACTAAGTGAATGTAATGGATTCGACTGGAATCTGTTCTTGGCTCTCCGATTCCTCAATCAGAGCCGGTATCCATTACTCCACCGTGATTCCAACTGTTATATCAGTAACAACATTAATCTAAAATGTTTTTTTTAATGAAAGTATTTTAAAGTAATTGAAGATAGACTCTGTTACATCTAAACCTGATGCTGTTTTTGCTCCATTCTAATTGAACGCTTTTTCTGATCGACCAGCTGGATATGGCTGCAAGTTATATATAAAAGAATCCAAAACAATTAATATCTAAGATGTCAACCTCGATTTGTGACAAAATCTCGGCTCCGATAAAAAATGTTAGCCAATCATTTTTTTTTTTTTTAAGTCGGGCTAAGTCACAAATTCATTTTTATTTAATGAAGCTCTGAGAAAATTTTAAAAAGATGATGATTTATTATTGGTAGCTTCTTCGATCATATCTCACCCATCCCTAAACAATTATGGAAACCAAGAAATTGCTCGTCACTCCATAACCAGTATTCTGTAGAGCCTCCCGAATGAACCTACTTCGATTTATCAGAACGTTATCGTGGACTAGAATGCTATTATTGCTCGGAAATGCATTCCTGGGTGTTTTGGTGATTTTTGTTTTTTTGTTTTTTAATCATTTCACCAGAAGCAACACAATAAAGCCACTAAGATGCAAGGGGTTAATGAGTGTTAGATAGTATGAAAAAAAAACTACTATTAATGAAAGAGAGAGCGATAAAAGAACCAGAATTAAGAAGACAGACTATAACCGTTGATATTACATTTAAATGTTTGATGATCAAACTTGACTGAGAAGCAAGAAGCCGGAAAAGAGTTCTACAAGCGAGAAGTGCAATAGAAGAAACTGTTAGCATAGAACTTACGGTTACATCTAGTCATTTCAACTGTAAATTGATTAGACTTTGCTGCCAATCTAGTACTGTACTTAAATTCATAAAGTCTAGGTAACATAGCGGAAAGTTCATCCGAACAATTACCATGAAAAGATTTATAGAAAAGACACAGGAAAGCAACATTACGGCCGTCGGAAAGGAACTGAAACAGAAATGCCAGGTCAGAACCAATAATATTGAAAATTCGTCTTTGAATTTTATCAAGAATCTCTAAATATATAAATATATAACAGCAGCGCCAGACCAGATGCGGCAGCAATATTCAAATAGTATACTTATAAATCCGTAAGATAGATTCTGGCGAGAAAAATATTACCTACCACGTCATTCTTAGCTGAAAACTTACCAATAGATTCAGTATACTGTTTCCACTTCATGTCAGCTGAAAACTTTAGTCCGGGAAAGTGCAAGGTGCCACTCACCTGGAAGTAAGCATCATCTGTGCTGATGGATGGAAAAGGGGTTCTCTGAGATGATTAAAAGACAAAAGTTTCCTCATTGAGGCGTTAAAATTGACAAGCCATCCTTTGCCCCCACTTAATAACAGATTGTAGGTAATTTTTTAGATCAGCTTCCAATATGAGTTTATCGAACCGATCAGACTTTACTCCTGTCTATTGACAGGAGTAAATAGTTGTGCTATCTGCATAGATACCGAATTAAGAACTGATAACACCGGGTAGGTCATTTATAAAAACTAGACACAATGTAGGTCAAAGGATAGGGTTCTGGGGTCAACTGCATTTATGCAAAAAATATCCAATAGTGGCGATTCAAGATAACTTTCATTTAGCGATTTGATAAAAAAGACGGAATCACTTCAAAACTTAGTCCAGAAATATTGTAATCTTTCAACTTGTGAAGAAGACCACTATGCTAAACTATATCAAATGCATTCGAGATATCCAATGCAACAGCCTGAATTTTAGTAATTTTATCTAAAGCTTGATAAACTCTTCCAGCAATAATCGTTAACACATCATCAAATGAGTTTAAAAAGCTAAAGAGATATTGCCTATCTGAAGAAAGTGTTATGGGATT